TGAGTAGGCTCGCAGGTTAAGCAAACTATCAAAAAGTTCAGCTTTTGGCAGGTGCATTAGAACCGCAGAACATAGAACACCGTCATAAGTTTTTTCAGTGGGAATGTGGGGTAGTAAGCCTGAAAATAGGTGATCTTGAAGTTGATGGTTCTTGTTAATCGCATGTTTTCTGAGACCTTCAGAAGGTTCAACCCCGAACGCCTGATAGCCCTTGCTCAGTAACATAATCAGATCTCGGCCTGAGCCTGTTCCCACATCGAGAACCGAACTACCCTTGGGGAAGCTTACATCGAAGTAATCGGAGATCTTACTATCTACGGATTCGTACCGCTCGAATAGTATCTGGGAATTTTCTTCATAAAAGTCAGTAGTTTGATGGTCGGGCATTCATCCTCCTGATGAATAGGATTCCTTATTTGCATAGTGCTCTAACTGATTTTTACCAATATCCTCAGAGGGAGTAAGTATAATACCTAGATTACTATAAGGGGGATTTCTAAGTCATTATTTTACCTTTTACTTAAATCGTTCTACCTGTTTAAGGTTATGGTACCCTTCAACACCAGAACTTTAGTCCTCATTTGATAAACATATATGTCTAAAACCAAAATTGTCGATCTATTTGCTGGGCCTGGCGGACTTGGCGAGGGTTTTTTGTCCTTAAAGGATGCATTTGAGATATGCGTGTCTGCAGAAATGGATACTCATGCACGGTCGACGCTGCGCCTTAGGTCCTTTTATCGAATGCTCAGAAATGAGAGGGCCGACTGTTTGAGTGATTACTACGATTATTGCAATGGAATCACTGAGACAGCATATAGCAAAAATACATATGACCTTTGGGAAAAATCTGGAGAAGAAGCTAGGCGAATTGAGCTAGGCTCAATAGAAGGAAATAAAGAACTGAGAACTAGGATAAGCCTGTCAGGATTAGATAGCGATGATAAAAAGTGGGTCTTAATCGGTGGTCCGCCCTGTCAGGCTTATTCTCTTGTCGGCCGTGCCAGAAACAAAGGTATCGCCAATTACAAAGCCGAAGCAGATTATAGGCATTTCTTGTATAAAGAATATTGAAAATTATCCAAGAGTACTATCCTGCGT